GTGTGTGCTGTTATTCATAGTAATATCTAATTATGAATTATGCTAGAAATTTATTAGTCATCTTTTATTAGCAAATTCACATTTTATCTCGAGTCTCTTTAATTATAATAACTTCTAATCAAAATTTCATGCTCTCTTAATATGTTTACATACTTTGAACACTTAATTTGTCATACTTTATAATGACATTAATATATATATATTGGTGACTCATTTTTTTATTTTTATTTTTTTTCAATTAATTCCCTCGTAGTTTCTAATGTTAAGAACTCTTGAATTATTTGACAGCCTGATCGAGCCGATGAACTAGAGAGAATCGAAGCGTGTGGAGGGAAGGTGATTATTTGGGATGTCGCTAGGGTTATAGGTGTTCTTGCTACCTCAAGATCCATAGGTATGTATGTACGAATAATGGTATAAACATTCGATTCGATTCGAAATTAAATATTATACATTATCCATCCACATATTCATAACTCTTTATTTCTTTTTTTTATAAATATTGCATTACATCAACATTAGCAATTTATTTGTATATATAGTTTCATATTTCATTTAGTACTAGTAAAGAGCCTGTGCGATGCACGCGGTGCATAATTTTAAGGTCATTTATTCATTCTTATAATTATATAAATGAATAAAAAAAATGTACAGGATATATATAGTACGTGACCTGTAATAGGCCAAAATGTGAACACGGGTGATGCACGAGGTGCACAATTTTAAGATCATTTATTAGTACAGAGCCTGTGAGATACACAGGGTGCACAATTTTCTAGTATGTGTAATAAAAATACATACCGTATGCACGGGACAGAAGCACTAAATGAGTCATTTTCACAGAGCTTGCCCGTTAAGTAGCTCCTAAACACGGGTGCACAATTTGTAGTACGTACCATAAAATCAGAACAGATTTCCATACAATTAGATAATAAATAAAGCCTTTTTATTTTACTAAAGACTCTACGCACTTTATTTTTTTACTTATCGGATGTTATGGTATTTTTTTTGTTAAACCGATTTTGTGGAATATAATACAAATACAAAGAGGATTGAACAAAATCAGAACAGATTTTCATACAATTAGATAATTAAAAGGAATTAGATAAGGAAAAAAATGAATTATATAAGAAAAAGAAGGAATTAGATAAGGAATTTTGAATCTGACTTTTTTTTGGATAAATAGACTTTACGTACAAATTTTGACTTCACTGATTTTATGGGATTTATTTTGACAAAATCAATGTTAATATGGAATGAGACAACTAAATAAAGTCTTTTTATTTTAGTAAAGATTTTACGTCTTTTTTTTACTTGTCATACGTTATGGGATTTTTTTCTTAAACTGATTTTATTATGGGATATAAGACAAATAAATAAAATAATTAAATAAAATTCTGGATAGAAATAGCAATGCATTAATTACGTTGACTTTTCAATCTACTAAATTTGATAAATAGGATACCTTATACACTGACGGAGCCATAAGGGGCCTAGGGGGGCCCGTGGGCCTCCCTCAAATTTTCTAAAATATATATGTATATATATATATATATATATATATATGTATATTTATTAAATACTATAGAAATCAAGGTTTTAAATAGCGGGCTAAAACGTTTATGGCACTGTAGCTATAGCGGAGCTATAGCGGAGATTTAGCGGGATTTAGCGGCTAAATTGAACATGAATACAAATAGCGGCACGCTGCCAAAAAAAGCTATTTCTCAAATAGCGGCAACTTTAGCGAGCTATTTATTTCATTGATAGAAATACAAAAAATATAAGAAATACAAAAATATTACAATATATTAATAATTAAAACTTGTTAAAAATCAATATATATAAATAAAATAGCATAAAATATTTTTAGCAATGCAAATTATATTTACAATATATTACTAATTAAACCTTACTTCGAATGTTATTTTTATTGAAATTAATAATATTATTTATTTATTGAAAAATATACTAACAATCCTTATATTTTAAATTTTCAGATAAACTTTTGTAAATATTTATATTGATTTAATCTTTTAAACTATTGATTGTAATCGATTTAGTGAATTATAAAACCGAGTATTTTTTAGTTGGATTATTATATTTTTTAAATATTGATTTTTTACTCTTTTTTTCTGTGTAATCACATATTTTTAACTTCATTTATTTTTTCTTAGAAAAATGTCAATTGATAAGCTTTAATCAACAAAAATGCTATGAAATATTGTGCAAAAGTTCAAATTAAATCAAATTTTCAACAAAAAAAAACTTATTTGTCCATAAATTATAGATGTTGAACTTAACTTATTAATACTTGAAATATTTTTTTTTTTGAGTTTGAGTGTGATACAAATTATATGTCTTTAAAAACTTTATGGTACACGTATCATTATTTATATTTAATTTATATGAAATGAGTATTTCAACTTTAACATTAAGCTCGTTATTTAACATTTAAAATCGGGCCTCCCTGAATAAAATTTCTAGATCCGTCACTGACCTTATATCATAAGTATAGATACAAATAAATATCATGCCAAAATTTTAAAGAATAATTAATGTATTTTAATTTATTATCTAGCCATCAGTAATATCATTTAATGATGTGATCATTATCTCTTAAATGATAAATAAAATATTAATTTAAAAAAATATTTGTTTTTTTATATAATCAAATAAAAATTAAAAAATACTATCGACAAATATGAATTATAATATATATCAGTAAAATTATTGCAGAAGTTAATAAAATTATTTAAGAAAAAAAAACTTTTTGATCATATTTGAATAGGAAATGTATATATGCAAGCAATTAATGCATATAGTAAAAAATTTCTAAATAAAGTATGCATTAAATGTAAGTTGATTTTTTTTGCAACTATTTTTGGTAAACAGCATGGCTTTTAATATAAGTATAGACTTTATTAGTTAGCCGTAGCTATTATGTAGTACAATAAATAGAATACGATTAACTAATTAATTAATGTAAAATGTAATAGTTTTCTTTCAAAATAATTTGTCGACAATCATATATACTGATAACAAATCTGAATTTGGTAATGTGCTGCAGGGGATTATTATCTGAAACCGTATGTGATCCCGGACCCAGAGGTACGAGTCATCACCCGAACGGTCTCTGACGAGTTCCTAATACTCGCTAGCGATGGGCTTTGGGACGTCGTCTCGAACGAGCTGGCGTGCCAGGTGGCAAGGAGGTGTTTGGCCGGCCGGTTCAGGAAGGGCGGAAACCGGTTTGAGGAGGCGGCTGGCGTGCTAGCCGAGCTCGCAATCTCCAGGGGCAGTGGCGACAATGTGAGTGTCGTGGTGATCGGTTTGAGGTAGTGGTCGAGTTCTTGGTATATAAGATGAGGGAAGAACAAATTTTAAGGCCTTTTTTTTTAAATAATTATTAAAAATAAATAAAATAAGGAAACATAAATAGAATAAATAATTTTCATATGCAATTAAAATAGACTACTATATAAAATGTTTATATCTGTATATTTTATTTCTCATTATACATCAGTATCTTGTGTCTTTTTATTTGTAACTCGAGAAGCAACAATGTAAAGTTCAGAATTAAAAGCCTAAAAGTAGATTCCTATATATATATTTAGTTTTTTTATTAATAGAACAAATTGACATAGTATTAACGATTTTTTTTATATATTTTTTTTTAGTTTTTTTTTATATAGTTTTCCATGAATTTAACGAATTTCATTCTAAAACTGTTATTTATTTATTTATTTTTTTATGAAATCTAACGATGTGGATCAAAATTTATTGACAAACGAAAACTTGAGTAACTAAATTGATTTAATTGGAACATCATGTACTAAATGCGCAAATATATATAGTTGGGGTATAAGAAAATTATCAAATTATTTTATTATCTTAACACATTTTATTACAGTTTATTTGAATTTATCATGTAATTTAGATCGTATTTTGACACTTGAATATATTATTTCTTACTTGTCTAGTTTTATAATTTATAATGTAATCTTATTAATTAACTATTATTTTTTATACATATACTTACAATTTCTTTATTTGTGAAATATTCTTTTATTTAAATAAGTACCATATTATTATCTAGTATCTTCATATTTTTAGGAAGACTTTAAATATAAATTATTATTTAACATACATCATAAATAATTCACCATGATTCAACATATCATGTACATGTAAAAAGAAATTTACTTTTATATTAATGAGAAATTAAAAGAGACAAAACATTTTAAAATACCTATCTATAAATGGTAATAACAAATTTAGGTCCACTTTTACTATTAACCTATTATTAAAAATAAAAAATAAATTATTAACGGAGGTTGAAGCACGTTTAATAAAATAATAAAAAATTAAAACTAACTTTCTATAAATAGTAATATAATGAGAGATCCACTAAAATACTTACTATTTTTAGTAAGTGTGTGTTGCCTAATTATATAGTAATAGATAATTGTAAGCAAAGTTTATAATAATTTTGTTTTCGTCCTTTCTTCACTTTCGATTAGAAACATATGTTAATATATTTTTTTCATTGTACTAATATCCACCAAATTTGTGATGAGCACAATCTTAAACCTACCTTTATTTCAGCTCAAAATTTAATATCAAATTGATCCCATTTTGGTAACTTTTCCAATGTTTTAACAGATATTTTTGTTACGGTTTTGCTATGAAGCCAACAGTTGGCTCCATAGTGGAGCCAACCTTCTATATACGACATGTAAATCTACCATATTCTTTGATTACTTAAATAACACTTATATAATTTTATTAATATGGTAGATTTATTTGTTGTATATAGAAAAAGTTGACTCCAATGTGGGACCACCTGTTGGCTTCAAACCAATTTTTGTTATTCCTATTATTTGGAAGCTATGGTTTGTACAACTGAATCTTATGAAAATTGGACCCAAGCCCAGCTGCCTATTTTTTCTTTTTGGGCACTAATTGGGCCACTTTTAAAACAAGTGACATTCATATGTCAATATTTGTTAATTACATCACCAAAATCACCAATATTTGCTAATTACATCACCAAGATCACCAATATTTGTCCTCTACCAATAATAGTAGATATTCCTCTCTCTCTCTCTCTCTCTCTCTCTCTCTCTCTCTCTCTCTCTCTCTCTCTCTCTCTGTGTGTGTGCCTTACAGTCAGCATCTTTTTGTATGCTTTTCATTTTATTTTATTTTTTTATTTTTTTAATTTTTCTCAATGGTATATGAAATAGGCAAAATTGCAAAATTATTCCATTGACTTTTATGTAATTAGCATGCTTTTGCCACTTTAATTTAAGAAGTAACAATTTTTTTTTTTATTTTTTTTGGTACTTTAAAAAGTAACTATTTTGGTTCACAAAATTCGTCGAATAATATTACTTTACTTAGAAATCTTGTGTTTCTTGTTAAAAATTAAAGCTTTCCGTAAATAAATACTACTCTAAATAACTAAAGAACCATTGTTCAGTAAAACACTTCATGGTTAACATAGTTAATAATTGCAATCTTGTGTGTTTGGTTCGGGGGAATGAGAGGGGAGGGGAAGGGAGGGGAGGGAATATTTTTATTTTCCCCTGTTTGGTTCAACTTTTGATAAGGAAGGGGAGTAAAATTTTCCCCTCCTTTCTCCCACCCAAGGGAAAATTAGGTCCCCTCCAATTTTGGAGGAATTTGGAGGGGAAGTTAAATCTTTTATGTTTTTGTACTAATATGTCCTTCTCAATTCATTATAATTACATAATGTGCCCCTCCAATTTTATATCTTGTAAATATAATATTATATAATAAGTAAGGGTGTATTTGTCCACATAATTTTATTTTCCCTCCCTTTTCATCTTCTAACCAAACAAGGTTAATCATTTTCCTTCACCTCCCCTCCTACAAAATCCCTCCAAACAAAGTAAAATTAGTTTCCCTCCCTTCCCCTCCCCTCCCCTC